GAGAGAGAGAGAGAGAGAGAGAGAGAGAGAGTGAGTAAGTATGTGTGCGTGTTTGCGGACGTGTGTAAGTCTGTAGTTCACACTAATTACATACCCCAACGTGTCGACTGTCAACAGTCACGAAAAAAAACCCCAATTAGGAAGACATAAACGCATTTCCTGCAACGCCCGAATCGACATTAAGGCTTCGAGCACTGAACTTTAGAAAGCAAAACGTCAGCAAGTTCTAAGCCCAGAAAGCAAAATGTTACAGGATAGATGAAAACAACAAAACATGGTTTTATTCTTTTTAAAGTTGTACCTAAATAATGTTTTTTTTCTGGCTTTTACCAAAACATAACATTTACATTTCTGCAAAACATTAAATTCTTTACCACTTACAACTGGTGCCACGGAATGAGCAAAATAATTTTTTTTAAAAAGAACAATTTAGGGCCCAGTGCATTTGAACAGCTGGGCGAGAAAAATAGGCAGTGGTTGTTGATTGAACAAAACTTTGAGAACTGAAGTAGATGAGTAAGGGGAAAGACATGGATAGTTTTACTGGATACTGACACTGTGCCTACAACTGTCGTGAATGCAACTAACTTGTATTTCGCGCGCTCATATAACATTGCGCAGTTGTGAGCGCCGTAAAATTCTTACAAAACTAAACTAAAAACTATATGTATGATCTTTTGCTTATCTCAGGCCATCCCGGGGTGAGAGGGATACAACATCCCAGCAGACAGACTGGGATGTTCTTTGAAATTTCTCCCCACTCGGGAATCTTTTTTCTTTTATTTTGGTCTTTGGTAAGTGTTTTACGGCGCTCGCAACTGCATAAGGTTACATGATGGCGCGGGACACACCAAACATTTTCAGTTGGTAGGAAATTTTGAATTTTGCTCGGGTGGCGCCGAAGCCTACTCTTATCGATTTTAGACCACCAAGGGGTCTTTAACGTGCGCAACTTGCAGACGGGCCCTCCGAGATTTTTTGCCCTTTTCCGAGAAGGCTAGGAGTAGATCTTTTCTACCAGACGATCAGGGGTGTGGCTGAAAGACAACAGTAAGAAAGAGCCCAGGAGTAGCAGTAGATAGGCTACAGTAAGAGTCAAAAGCACAGAGGAGGGGGCAAAGGGGGTGAGGGGGCAGGGGCAGAAAGTGAAGACGAAAGCAGACGACAAAACATTGCTAGAGAGCAGGAAAGAAGACGAAAGGAGACAATTTTAGAGAAGAAAATTTTTCGGTCGCTACCCGGATTTGAACCCGGGACCTTTGAATGAGAGGCCAACATCTTAACCTCTAGGCCACGAGAGCCCCCCATTCAGGAATCGAAGTCGCGTCTCCTGCGCGGGACGACAAAGAGCGTAACCACTAAACCATAGACAGTTGTGAAACATAACCGTCTATGTCTGTTCTAGATATTATTAAGACAACAGAAGAAGTGAGTGATAGAGCAACAGAGGAACCAGTTTGGAAGGGACAAGAGGAAGTCTTAGAATCCAGCATAGTGCTTTTTATGTCCAACTATGTATCTATGTAGGCACTTATTTGTATTTTTATGTTCATTTTTTGGTAATACTGATTTTTATCAATGCTGTAGTATGTTGAACAGGGTTTAATCGTTATTCTATAGGTTGTTCTTTTAAATTCTTCTCCATTGTTCATAATGTGTCTACCGTATCTATTTTATTGTAAGATACATTGAGCATCTCGCGGAGATGAAAATTGGCAACATAATAAATGCAATTTTTTCTTCTTCTCTTTCTCTTTTCTTTTTCCTTTTTCTCCCCC